GTACTGTCTGATAGGAGCCAACTCAACAGCTATGGCTGTCGACGAAAGCACAGGAACACTTTTAGCTCTTCATGTTCTAGTGATCAGCCTGAGTTATCAGGGTTAACAAAATACCCAAACATATCAGCAGCCTCCTGAATTAAATGACGCAAAATAAAAACCTCAAAAAATAACAATTCTCACATTTAACCTTTGGGCCCAGTTACAGTGAGTAAGGAATATTTGTTCAAAGTAAACAGGACTCACATCTGTTTTCAATACATCAAAATATATGACAAACAAAGTCCTTTTGCAACAATATCCACTTGTGCATTTATCTGAGAGAACTGGACACTGAAACAAAGGAATGCTGGAGCTCCACTGTGCCTCAGATGAAGATCTACAGAGAGGGACACTTAGTTTATTCCAAATGTTTCCAGTTTTTTTTTTATCTTATTGCAATGAACCCCTATAATCTGTTCTTCAGTTCATAGAAATATTAAAAGTAGAATAAATAAATTAACCACGGACATCTGTGACACATAAAATATACTGAAAATCTAGTAAACACATCTAAAAACAAACAAAAAAATTAAACAGCTTCAGTGTTTCCCGATGGATGAAAAGTGATACGAGTATTATCTAACAGCGCTATGTCGTGCATAACATCACCTCTTTGTTCTCTTGTTTTCCTCCATTTCCCACCATTTCTTCATTTCTCATTAACCAGGTTCGTTTGATGTGTTTGCATGACATCAGTCAACTTGGCAGCACATGGCAGCTGACTATTAGATTAGGATATTACCAGGGGGAAAAAAACTCCATGCATGGTGATGAAATGCAAAGGCAATTGGCCTGACGTCTTAACTGATCTGTGGTCGGCGTGGGGGCCAGGCCGCTTCACTTCTCAGATCATCATGCTTCAGGCTAAGTGAATGCTTTTCATCACTGGCCTTCTCTCTCTCGCCTTAAACAGTGGGAGGTTTGAAGCCAGAGGTGGCTAAAATAGTCGCCTCCATACTCTTCACACACAAATTAGGCAAAACCGCTCCAAAACAGTGACTGAAGGCGTCTTTACATGTGTGACCCTGAATTCTCTCCTTGAATTATTTGCTAAAATTTACATAGTTTAAGTCAGCCAGACACCGGACAAACATGGTGGTGTTTCACTAATCTTCAGGAGAATAAAGCCATGTGGCTCCCCTCTTTAACCCCTCTCAGTAACGTTAGGTAGCTGCTTGCTGACTCCTCGACTCAGGCTGCAGCCAGCAGGCCCGTCGACCAGATTTGCTGTGATTACACGGAGCAGTGTTTACTTTTCCCAGAGTACTTAGCTCGCTGTTTCTTTTATTCATATTAATTCAGTCTCCCTCTTTTTCCCTGTCTTTTCATGTGTCCAGCCTTTGTTAGCCTAAACTGATGGTCTGCCATCCAGAGCGACACTCGTTCACTGGATAGGAAATTCATTTATTTGATGCAGCATTTTAAAATCTTTTAGATGAAAAAAATTGTTTTTATCCAAAACAATGTGTCCTTTAGCTTTTTATAAGCTAAAGTGCTTCTTATGTACAAGTCAAAAACCAAAACTGGTTACTCGGATTCAGTTTCATACACTTTCCAAACACGGCAGAGAGAATATAATAGAAATGCTTATATGTAATTGTATGAATCATTAAAATTGTATTTACTGTTAGAGTTTAGCTTTAAAGCTTAACTGGCCTGCATATGGCCACGCTTCTTAGCTCTGTGCCGACCTCATATGCACATACTATCTTGATTTGAGTGCTGTGTTAAATTACAGGCATGTTGCGATTACATTGTGAGACTCACAGCAACTCAGAACAGAAAAATAAAAATGTGCAGTGTAGCTCAGTGCCTGTTGGAAACATCGGACCGTAGAGGTAGCTTATTAAAAAGTGTTGCTATTTTTGGAAAAAGAAGGTTATCAACATTTTCAGGTTACCAAATAAGTTTTGTATGTTTGCTTTCACATGTGTTAGGCTTACTCAAATGAATAAAAGAATATAAAAAAGTAATATGCTAAGGTTTTTGTTGGTAATACTACATCTATTCCAGGATTTGTTTAAAGTATTGTGTAATCTGAAAGAGTAGAAGGCTGGCTTAAAATGAGGATAAAACCTGTTTTGCTTTGGTTTTATTTAGTCATTAACAATCTACACAAAACACATGTCTAAATATTCACAAAGAAGAAACCCCAAACAAAAGACACATGGACCTGGACATGCAGAGACAAAACACATCAAATGAAATAAAATCAAACAATCTGTAAATAACATAAAACACAAACAAGATGCTCTTGATAAAATCAAAGGATGACACAGGAAAAAACACTCAAAGTTAATATTATTTCTGCTCTGTATTCTTTAATTTTTATTTGGATTCACTTAAGAAAGTGCCAAAGTGCTTAAAAATCTTTGGTCAAATTAATTTTTGACTAAATATCATAAAAGCCTGCTGGTGTCGCTCTCTGCTCCTCATCTAGAGATGTGCACGTTTTGCATGATCTGCTATCGCCCAGGAACTTGCCCGAGGACACACACACACACACACACACACATCCCAAAACAAAAAATGGCCTTTAATAGCACATACCGCTGAGTTCCTATTTAAAGGCTAGAGGGTGAGGGCGGGGGCAGGACCACAAAAGTCCATTTACAGTACGGGTCAGTACATCTGAAAGCCTTTACCACTGCAGCCAAATTCTTTGTCTTCCTCTTTCACAGCTAGTTTTCTAGACCGCTAGCTACACAAAGGCAATTGGCATTATATTGTCCCGGCTGACATTAACCCCTGATATTTTCACTGCTTTCCATTAAAGTCCTCTTTTCCCTCTCTATTACAGGGCAATTCCCATAGAGTGAGGGGTCACATCAACTGGGGAGAGATACTTAAACACTTCCTGACAAAGACAGAAAAAAGAAATCGAAATCGAAAGCGCATCAGCAATTAGTTCTGTGTTTAATCGTCTTTACTTCTGTTTCACCTTCATTTCAGACTCCACAGTACTTCATAGGTCAGACAAGGCTGCTTGAAAGCTGTTTTTACCTGATCCAAACGTTTGCCCAAATACCCATTCATGTCCTATTTAGTTAAACAGTTATTTTCACATTCCAACACAGCTTTGTGTTGACAGATATAAAAACGATAGAATGTGGAACAAATGTAAGGGAACAACAGGTTCATATTGTTGGCACATTCATTCCTCACTTGAGTTTTTATTGTGTGAGCTACGTACAAGTGAAATATTTCAGACGGGTTAGACTGAGGTCAGCTGAATAGTCACATGGCTTAAAGATAACAATGGCTGCTCACAGGGTCATAGTTAGCCAGGTTCAGCATTTCCAGACTAAACAGGTCAAACTTAAGGCCCAGTGTAATCTGTGATAGAATGATGAAATTATTCCAATGTCACGCTGAGGTTTTGGTCATGATGGTTTTGGTGTGTGATCAAGAATTTCTTAACTTGATTTAAACATTTACATAAGGACAATTTTGCAACTTTAGAAAATTCCATGACTGAATCGACAGAAGATAAAAATAGTGGCTAGGTCACTGTGTGACACATATCGTGGGTGTTAGCACAGTACTTCAGAGGGTCAAGATTTCCCTCATTGTTAGCACTTTGCCAAAAGTGCTTTAAACACATCAGAGTATCTGACATGTAGAACATACAACAAAACAAAAGATCACTTATTTTATAGCTTGTTTGCCAAATGTGCTAAGAGGGAAATCAATGATCCACCAGGCCACCTGTACTCTGCTGTGAGGACAGTAAGCCACAGTCAGAAGGTGAGGCTTCACATTTCTGTAGCAGTGAGCTTGGTGTCACACAGCAGTCAGTCTACTCACAAACACATACCGACACCTCACTCTCCCCAACTGCCAGGCTGAGGAATGCCAGTGACAGAAGAGTCCTTGAGGCTGTCGACGGACGGGCCTGTGTGCACGCAGCAGCCCCTTGCTCACCTGCACACACCAGATCCTCCCTGCCCCAAAACCAAAAGTCCAGTACAACGTGACAGTCTTCACTGCCTGTTTCTGCTTCTGGCTTGTGGTCTGGAGTCACATTTCCCCCTCATTACCTGAATTGGGCATGCCTAACCAACTTTTCTTAACCTATGTTTGTATCCAAAAATGAGTCAAGATGAAAAGTATGACTGTGAAGCAAGTCCAGCATCACTAAAAACGAAATGACTGGCCATAACGCTGTCCAGAGTATATAAGGTTGTTTTTGCTGGTTCTGCGCGTGCCCACAGGACTGGGTAGAGGAGCGTTACAGCTCCAGTGAGTGTGCTGCTTGTGCTGTATTGTGTGAGCTCACAGCACGGGCCCTAAAGCTTCCATAGCTATTTCTGTCAATGTAAAATCCTGAGAACCACTTTGACCAACACAAGGCTGGGGAGAGAGTAATATTTCGGCTCTACCACAGCACCGAGTCTGTTCTCTCTGACAGGCCTACACTCAGGCTTGATGTGCTAAATAAATTAAATGTCTGTTTTTCTCTAAATGTGATGTTTGTCCATGGGACGCCTGGCTCCCAGACACACGAGTGTCTGAGTGTTAAAGCCGTAATAGGAGTGACAAAATAAACCCTTTGCAATTTTCTTTATGAGGAGGTGGAATGTCCAAACAAACACTTTCCCAGGGTTTGGGTAATTCTGAGAGCCATCCCAGTAGGCTGTTCGGGTGAAGGTGCCAGCTCATTACTGAGTGTGTTGAGCTGATTCAAAGTTACAGTGTGCTATGAACTGTTATTTTATAACACTTGGGTTTGAGGTGAATTACATTAAATGTTGTTCAGTTTTTAAAAAAAATTGTTCTGGAGGTTATGGCTTAGCCAAAATTATGTAAAGTGTGCTATAGCATATGTCATTGAAAGCACAAAGGAAAAGGAGAAAACATGCAATATTCATGTAAAGATGGTGAGGATCATTAAATTATTTTATAAATACTTCTTTCTTTATTTCAGTATACAAAATAACAGTATGTACATCCACGCAAAAGTGGTTTACAAAATCCATGAGTTCAGCTCATATACTAAGAAAGATAGAACATATTTTGAACGGCCTGCATGTCAGACATAAAGGAGATACTGTGCCATTTCACAACGTCCTCATTTCTCTTCTCTCGGTCCACGGGGATAGAGGCATGTCGTGGTCCACACAGGACACATGGTGGGTGAGAGTCCACAATGTCAACCACAAAAATGTTTCATTGTTGAAAAGTACTTGAAGTTCCCTTTGTGTTCCTTTCGCCTGTATTGTCCATTTCTACAGAGGAAAAGCATTTTAATAGTACCTTACAAAAAAGTACCACATGGATCCACCAGAACCCTTTGATGTCCGTGGAACACAGCCAAACATAAGTCTGTCTACTGAGGAGGAAGAATCCTTCTACTCCAGCATAAAATCCAATATTATTTCTTTTTATTAGAGCTATAATAAAATAGACTTTTGATATCCCTTGTCGGGGGAATTTATAATCATTAACAAGAAAAAGAAGATACCCGGGGAGGACGGAGGTCTTCATGTGAACCGATTATAACTGTCACCACACTCTCCACATCCAGGTTTGTGAAGCAGAAAACAAAAAAGTCCAACCGGCAGTTTGGAGATTCAATATAAAAATGATACTGAACAAGAACAGACCACTTCTCGTCGAGATACACATGCTAAAGCTTAACACAAAAGTAAGCCTTCTTGGTACTGTAGTGCTTTGGTTAATCTGTGGCCTCTGGCGGCTGAGTACAGGTAGAGGACTGCTGGTGTGGCTGGCAGCGGCACAGACTCATTTGCAGACATATCGCTCCACGATCCGCTCGCACTTCTTGCAGGTGACGTAGCAGCACCAGTGGTATTTGCAGTGGCAGCGCTCCACCAGCTTCTCTGTGTAGGGGGTGTAGCCACGGGCACCGCACATCAACACTGCCTGAAATTAACATAGACAAAAAAGAAGAAGAAGAAGAAGAAATGCTCTTAAATATTTTCTTTGTTACAACTAAACATTTTCCTTCAACAAGACAGAGACAGGGGATTCAAATTCTGAAATGAACATCCGAGGACAATTAGGTTTACAGCTTCATTCTAAAACGTTGTGTACAATCTTGTGAGCAACCCACAATAGTCCTTTAAAAGTGCATGACTGACCAGTGTGCTTTGACCTTTTGTGCACTTCTTCTTCTAAACATTTTTTCTTTCATTTTGTTTTTGTTCTGTCTTTATTGGGCA